TATTATTTTTTGATCTCCTTCTTTTTTTTCACAACAATATACAAACTTTCATAAATGAATAGTTTTCAAAATAATTTGAAATCGCTCATCAATATTTTTATCAACATTGGTCAAAGCCTGTAGTTGAAATAAATATTTAAAAATATCTAAAATTAAAAAGTGCTAAAAATATTTAAAATTAAAAAAGTACTTTACAAAATATTATTGCATAATTATGCAACATCATGAGAAGCAAAAGGAAAATATTTTGTTATGCAAATGTTGTGTTTGCGGCCCTATTGTAACAAGGGTTTTTTAAAGATCCCAGCTAGCACACTTACATTGGGCCAACGTATGTAAAACCATTGCAAACGTCGGCTTTTTTTTCCAATGCAAAACCAACGTTGATCCAATGTCATTTGGTTAATGATAAAATTATTACCGACGGAACTAAAAACATCTGGCAAAAAATTTAAAGAAAATAGAATTTAATTCCGAATAATATTGAATACAACGTTTTGCCAATTAAAGTTCAATGTTTAATCAACGTAAATACAACGTTGTGCTAACTTAAATTACAACGTTGGGCCAACGTATAAAATAAAACGTTGAATCAACCTAGAAAATACGACCATTTTCCGACTTTAAATAAACGTTTTATCAACATTGGTTTTTAGTTGTTGGCGACGTCGCATTTGTAACCATAATGATATGAAAACAACGTTGGCAGCCGATGTTGGGCCAACGAAACGCGCGACGTTCTAATGTTTTAATAACGTATGTGTGCTAGCTGGGATAAAACGTTTTTAATAATAACTTTTTTTGTTGCATTTCATAGAAATCTGTTAATAAAATAAGTAAACGTAAACAGAAGCGGGTTTTGTCACTCCTCAAGGAGATGGCTAAAAAGGTCTTATACAAAAAAAAAAAAGATCCGTTTTTAAGTAACTTTTTTTTTTAATTTTTTGTACTTTAGTGTAATAATCAAGTTCATATACGTATAATTACGTATTATAGTCAATATCATTCGTCAGTATAATAATCCAATTCTGTATAATAGTCAATTTACAAAATAATAATTTGAAAAAAAATTCCAAGGTAGGGGGCTACTACCCCCATGGCCTCCCTAAAACCCGCTACTGAACGTAAACAAAACTAAAACTTTCCAGCTGTTTATTTATTTTTTCTGCATTAAGTTAAAGTTTTCAAGCTAAAAAGTTAATTTTTTTTTAAGTTGTATGTAAAAATATCTAAATTTTTTTAGATATTTTTACATACAACTTAAAAAAAAATAACCAAATAAGTTGCAACCATGTTTTTTTTTAATCTAATTATATGGCTTTTATGTAAAACTACCCATATTTATAAAACCCAAACATGTCTAGAAAATAATAAAAATTAAAAAATAAATTATTTACGTTTCATTATACATAAAAATACGCGGGAAAATGTTTTATACCAACACTCATTTTATAAGTTCATTATTCATAACTCACTTTAGTTTAAGTTTCATAATAAATTAAATGTAAAAAATTAAAATTAAAACAAGACAGAATTGGAAAGACTTGCAACTTTCAATTTTTGCATATTATAGTTTTTTGGTTTAATTAAGCTAACTCTCTCTTGAAGCAATTAATTTCTTTAAAAAAAGTTTAAAATCGCTGTCTAATAGTCAATCTTAATGATAAGGATTTTTAGAGTGCTGCTAGCAGTTTGTATTGAGCATTTGAATCATTGACACGTATCATATTAAGAAACAAGAAACTTAGGTACTATTCAAAAATTTAGAGTATTATATATGCTGCTTGTATATATGCTGCTATGGTATTAAAACGGTAAATATAAATATGTAAATATGGTATTAAAACCCAAAAATAAAATAAAAAGTTATTATAAAATAAGAACACCAAAAAATTTATTAACACTAAGCTGAGTAAATACTCTAGAAAGTTCCAAAAACTCTAAACTGAATTTCTAACATTATGCAATTGTTTGCAGCGATGCCTTGATCTGCAACAAGAAAAAATTTTAAAATTTGAAAAAACTTCAAATAATTTATCAATGCAAAAATTTTTTTTTAATGTTGCTTATTTAATTGCAGAACGATGGTTTATTTCTAACACAGAGTTTAAAAAGTCTATAGTTTGTAGTACTAATGCTATAGAAATAAGACTCTATGCATTTTTTTTAGATAGCTCAACACAAAGCTTAAAAGGTCAACAAAAAATACTGGGAATCTAAATTTGATAAACTTTTAGACACTTATGATTTTTTAAAAATGCAGAATTGCCCAATGCAGTGAGAATGAAGCCTCTTGTAAAGAGTTTTATGATGAGGCAATGAGCATGCCTTTGTAAGTGTGAATTAAATTTAAGAATTCCAAAAAAGAACTTATTTGTAGAAAAATGAGGCAGAATTTCATCTATGCAAGAATGTGATTTGAATGTTAAAGAAACTGCAAAGCTTAGGTTCAAAAACTTGCTCTGTCAAATTGGGTCATTCGTTTCATTACTGTCATTGGACTGCTACTGCTATTAACCTAATTATTAATAGCAGTAATAATCATTGATTACTACTGCTATTAACCTAATATTAATAGTCTACTGAAAGATATTATGAATGCAAGGAAACTTGTTGAAAAAAACCTCATATGTAATTGGATGAAAGTTTTGTGGAAAAACTTTTTAATCAAAAATTTTTTATATCTTTTTTCTGGCTTCAACTTCTTGTAATTTCTTTAAAATTTTTTAAATTTTAACTTGTAATAATAATTGTCTAAAACATTTAAAAATTCAACCTTTTAAAAAAGATTAATTAAAAAAAATCATAAATTTAAAACCAGTTCCCAAACATTAATTTTTTTATTTTTTTATGTGTTACGTTTTTATTATTATATGTGTTACGTAAAGTCATATTTGTTTATAGTTCTATATATGTTTAAATTATGTTGTTTCCATGTTTTCAAAGTGGTCTTGGTACTATGTTAAGCAAGTTTGATAACCTCGCCAGCCAAGCGCTGTATATAGCAGAGGTGTGATTTGGCAGCATTTAGTGCCAGGCGGTGTTACTGCTTTAGAGCTAGGTTGTGTTGTCTAGCTTTTTTTAATTATTCTGGAAACATAATTATGTCTGTTAATGTTTAGCGTAATGTGGATGAGAGAGTATGCAACATTAATCTTTAAATCTACGGTGCTTTAATGTCCTAAATTTGAAATAATTGAATAACTAATATTGAATATAAAAACAAATATACTTTATTAAAGTTTAGTAAAAAGATAAATATAAATAGTTAACTTTAAAATGGTTTTTTAATTTTGCCTTTCATATTTTAATTTATTTTCATTGGATTTTATTGTTATATGTTATTGTTGTAATGTTATTGTTGTGATTTTTTATGTTGATAAACAGCTTACCTTAATGAGGCCAAGACAACAATTTATATCTTAGTTTGATTTTTTTTTTAGTATTGTTAAAGCTTTTGTACTTTGGAACAGATTTTAAAGTTACATTATTTAAAGTTATATTATATAGATAAATCTTTATATTAAATGCAATTACAAAATAGGTAACTATAAATAGGTAAATTGATTTTCGGTAATAGTGTGGTGGTTTTTGTTTGTTTTTTCTTTGTAATTATGATATCATAATTTCATTACTTTTTTATTTGAGATTTACGTTAGGACGCATTTATAAAATAAAAAAACCTGATTTTCTTTTATTGTAAATTTTTTTTTAGTTAAAAAGATATAAATATATATGCTATTAGTTAAACCTTTTTTACAATTGATCTATTTTATGCCTATATAATATGTATATATATATATGTATATATATATATATGCCTATATATGTATATATATATATATATACATATATATATACATATATATATATACATATATATATATATATATATATATATACATATATATATATAGATATATATATATATATATATATATATATATATATATATATATATATATATATATATATATATATATATATATATATAT